CTTTTCTCCCGGTCCCTGCCTCTTCCACAGCAAGAGGGTTTCGTGTTCTTCCCACTAATACTGAACCTAGGAAGGGAAGCGCTGGCCGGGTGATTTCGGGACCCCGTTTTCCCTGCTGACACGTACCCTGTGCGGGTTCTTGCTCAGTTAAGAGATCTCTCAGCACACCTAAGACCTGTCCTTACATGTCCAAGAGCGGCCCGAGGAGGCATCCCGAGGTAGCTGACGCATCGCCGTCCTCTCCCAGGCACCCGATGGGTTGGCAGGAGCATCGGGACAGGAGCCCAGCCCTCGCGGCCGCGGGTGCTCGGGGCGATGCAAGCCTGCCCTGCCCCTGCTCCGAGCTAGCCGTCTTCAGGTTCAAACCACTACGGAAGCTCAGGGGAGCGATGCACTAAAAATTTCCGCTTCAAGGCACAAAGTCGGGCACGGCAGCCTGGACCAGCGCTAGCTCGGAGCCTGGGCTTGGTGGAGCGTGTGTTGGCTCCTCAGAGGGGGCCCCCAGGGTTTTTCGTGGGTCGCCTCTTCTTGCTACCCCTCTTCCCCCGTCGTCCATTAACAGCACAATAATGTCGTTGATTATTTCCAGTAATCGGGCTCAAAAAACCATCAGCTCGGTTTGATACTTGAGAGCTGCCTTGCAGAGTATTCACTGGGGACCCTCGGTGCCCGCAGGAGCCTTCGCCCAGGGCGGAGGCTGCGGCGTTCACCAGCTTGCTGACCCAGGTGCCAGGTGACAAGTGGCATTTTCGGGACGTAGCTGAAGCACAGTGCTGGGGCAAACCCATGGCGGGAAGGGAGGACGGCCCGTGCGTTTAAACAGATGGAGCTGATGGAAGGGAACGGGCGTTGCCCGATTTCCTCAATCTGAAAAATGGTGGAATTTCTCCTTCCGTCTTAAATGGTTAAAAAGAAACCAAACGGGAACTGGTTTTCTTTTTCTCTCCCGGCACACTTGCGTAACTGCAAGGACCCTGGCGCTTTTTTTCCTAATTGAACTGGATTTTTTTTTTTTTTTTTAAAAAAAAAAAAAGAAATCTTATATTTTAATGGATAAAATTTATATATTTTAAATACTATATTTCAACAGATTGACACTTTTGTTTTGAGAAATCTTATAGCAATGATTCCGTAATATATATCTCTATCTCTGTATCTCCTTAACACACAAACTACTGGATGTTTAAAGTCGTACCTAGGGCTGGCCAGACCTGGCCTGCTCTGCCTACCCGCTGCAGCTCGTGGGCCGTGGCTTTCCCCGCTCTCTCCCGCGCCGCAGCCTCGTTAGGCGCTGATTGAAGCAGGCGCTTTTCCCCCAAACCAAATCCTGCTCCTGTACCCAGCTGTGAATTGGAATGGGAAATGAAATAATTAGAGCCTTGACCGCACCTAGAAGAGCAGCGCAGAGAGAAATAGCCATGGCCTGGATCTGCCCTTTGCAGTGAAAGAAGCTCCGGAGGGAAACCCACAGCTTTTACCTAAAATTCATGCTGGTTTTGCCCAACATTTTGAGCTAAAGCAGGCACTTCTCAAGTGCATCGGGATCTATAATTATTTTTACAGGCCCCCTTCGCCCTGCCCCTTCCCCACGGTTAATCCCTTGAGCCCGGATCAGACCTCCCTAAACTGTTTCCTTCTTTCTTGTGGCGCTTGCGTGGGTTTCATCCAGGCTCGGGCACTCTCTGAGCAAGCCTACACCACGAAAAAAAAAAAGATTTACACGCTGAATGTATCCTTTCTTTCCCCTCTTAAAATAGATTTCGCAGTCCAACGCACCAGGCCAGTGTCTTAAATATCTTCTTTTTAAAAAAATTAGATAAATATTTAGGTTTTTGTGTGTTAATTTCCTCTTTCTAAATCCGAGCTGGGTGGAATTGCGGGAGGCAATGCCTGAGCTGGAGCTTGTCCCCAGCCAAAAAAAGTTTTAACGGGACCCCTCGCACCCCCAGCTTCCCAAACCTCGCCTTCACCGGGCGGCCGGCTCCCCCCCAAAAGAGAGAGCCCGAGTCCCGGCAGCGCTGCTCGGCTCCCTCGGCATCGCGCACAATCCGTTGCGTCCGCACCGAGGGAGACCTTCGGTCGTGGCGTCGCGATCGTGTCGTGGAAGGGTCGCGGGCGCAGCAGCTTTCCGTAAAGCATCAAGGGTGGGATGGATCTTTTCTCACCAGGTTGTGCGCCCCCGCAGGTTTTTAGGCCGCTGAAGCTGCTGGCTGCATTTCTACGTTTGCTTTTCCATCTCGTTGCTTAAGGACCGGGGAAAACGTGGGTCGTTTTCCAGCCGGCTCGCCTAGAACCTCTCGCCTTCTTCCTGCCTGCCCTCGGCTGCAATCCACCCGAGGCCCTGTCGGGTTCGAGACTTGAGGCGATGTGAAGCTAGGATGAATGTTTTTTTCTTAATTTAACACTCTGTAAGTTTGTGTAAGCTTGCACAAATTGTATATAATTACACTTAAAAGAGCAGGAATTCCCAGCCTCCGCCCTTTGAAGGTCAGGTATGATGCTACCTTTGCCACAAGTCATGCCAGCTGAGAAGTAAAATACTTCTGCTGAACGGTGGATGCAGCCCCAGATCTGCAGAGGCTCTAAGATGAAACCAAGTATTTATTTACACTTCTATGAAAGTCATTTCTAACCCTCCTCCTTTCCGCAGCCACCTTCACGCCGGGATGAAGGCAGTCCCGTGGGACAGCGCAGGCAGGCGAGCATCCTCCCAAAATGTGAAGCTGTTTTCTCTTGCGAGAAAAAAACAAACAAAAAAAAAACCCAGGTCAAGAGCTTGGCCTGCCGGCAGCGCTGGAGGGGCTGGGGTTGGTTTGATGACAAGAAGGACCGTGTCTGCCAAAGATGCCACCGACTCCGGAAAGTTACTTTCTGACCCTCCGGAGCTCTCTGCCCGGGAAAAAAACCCTACGGAAAGGTCCGTGTTTGGAGTCAGTGAGATCAGATAAATGAAGGAAAAGTGCCAAAAGAAGGGGTCGTGCCAGATGATTGTATAATGTTGTTCTATATTGTCAGTATTTTTCTTCAAATGCTATTGTACCTGCAGTGCACAGTAGTCATGAAGTGTAGCTTGAACAAGCGCTTCTTTGTATTTGCTCAATGAAAGCAAAGGGGGAGGTTGAAGCCTTAAAGACTTACCATTGATTTTAAAACCAAGCCTTTAGCAATGCTCCGAGGACAGACCCCAGGGCTCCGCCTGGACCCTCCAACCGCCCTGCGCCGTCTCCCAGTTGCCCGGCGAGAGGGAGCTTGTCCCGTGTGGCGGGGGCGGGGGGGGCGGGGGGAACATGTTTGACGAAAACCCGGCCACTCTCACCCATGGGGGAACCCCAGATGACAACTAACGGCTGTTGGAGGTGACGGTCGCGCGTGGCACCGTGGTGGAGACCCGCGGCCTGTCTCCACGCATGGCAGCTGGGTGGAACTGGGACGCGACACCGGTTTGAGCTACAGCGCGGGAGCCGGGGTGATCCCCACGTGTCGCACGCGTCGGACACAAACCTTGCTCTTCCCCGTGTCTGTAAAACACCGCGACGCAGCAGCTCTAGAATTAGCTCTTCACTATGCAAACGGAAAAACCTTCAGCTGGTTACGAAGGGGGTTGCGGATGCCCGGTTTCCTTGGCGGTTACTGTTTAAAACAAATCTAGACGTCGCTACACTTCTTTTTTTTTCCGATAATGCTTTAAATCGTTGTGCTTTCGTGTTCTCCTCAGCTCGCCAGCGGAGCACCGGGGTGGTAAAAGACTTAACGGTCGCTTTGGGTCTCAGCTGAACCACCGTGGCTTCATCCGAATGTTTGGGAAAGCGATGGAAGTTACTGAAGGACTGTTGACTTGCATGTGTAAAATGTGTGGGTAAAATGACATGCAGGCGTCTGTCATGTTGTGGCTTCTGTTATTTGGAACAGAGTAACTCCTGCTTGTGAAAAAAAATTGTCACAAACCAGAAATATGCCAACTGTGTACAAATAACGTGTACGTTTTAACAGCAACGAGGACTTTTAACTGCAGGACAAAGGCCGAGGTTAAAACAGAATAAAACCAGGTTCTGACAGTGAACTAACCTGTCTCTGCTGAAGTTGCTGCGCTTGGGAACGAGCGGGATCCTACTGCTGCCTATCCCGAATGGGGTACAGGTGGCCCTGGCTGAATGAGGTTCTTGATTAATATTTTGCAGGAAAAAAAGAATAAGGTGAAGTATAATGACCTATTTCTTGTGTAGGCAAGCAGCCGGGGGGGAGTGAGCATTTTCCACTGCTCCCCATCGCTTGTCCCAACCCCTCTGGTTGCACTGACACAGCTGGTTTTAGGGATGCCAGACCAGGGGATGGATTTGGGGTTTTAATTAAAACTATTTTGTGCCCAGCTCGGCTCCCTGCGCACACTCGGGTCCGGCTGGTCGGGCACTTACCTGCGGCAGGACGGGGACTCCGTGCTCGGAGCTGCCCCAGCAGCGCTGGCAGCACCGCCTGGGTGTGAGATGGATTTTCCCCAGGCACTTGGCTGCGGGACAGACCGACACCAGGACAGCGGGCGAGAGCGGAGAGAACTGGGGAGCTCGTATTAACTTGCCCCTCCGTTAATGGTAGTGGTGTTGCTCGCCCACGAGCCCTCCTCGTACGACCAGCGCAGGCAGAGCCACGCCATGAGCCGTGCTCATCGTGGGACGGGGCGGTCACAGCGCTCTCCGCCCTATTCATTGCCGGCTAAAACCTCCCTGCAGTGCCCAGAGGGTGCAGCAGTTTTTCTTGCAAATGAGTTTTTGCGCAGGGATGGGTGAGCACACACCTTATTTTCCAGGAAGCGCAGAGCACAACGGTGCAGACATGTTTTTCGTGTGCTGTCATGGCAGTGTTGTGGCTGTGTCGGTGCTTTCAAGCTGGAAGTCGCTGCCTGAAAGCTTGAGATGAATCTTGTCACCACACTCGATTTTCCAAACCTCGGGAGGGGAAAAATGGCTCCAAACAAGTCACAAAACAACGTACATTTTATCCAAGAGGACCGAGGTGTGGGAGGCTTTATTCAACCCCTGGCTATGTTGCAGCCTGAGCTTTGGGCACCTTCTTGGCCGCTCTCTTCCCTGGCAGCTGTAGCTGTTCGGGGCTCCCCTGCTTGGATGTTGCCTCTGCAGGAAGGGCTTTTACCACCGGCACCTCATCTGATGGCTTGGCCGTCTCCTCGCCAACAGTTGCAGGGTGGAGCTCAAACACCTCCCGGAATTCCTCCATCAGCCTCCGTGCCTCCCGGTACACCTTGGGGCTGGATTTCTTCTTTTGCAAAACAGACACTGGAAAAGGCCAGGGGTGTGAGCAGAGCGATGGGACGGCTCCTTGGCTGCAATATTTGATCTTCCCTCCCACGCCTCCACCCGATAGCGGCCCCAGCCCTCCCGTCCCCACAGCATGGGGCACGTCACCGTGCAGGGACACAAAGGCGGCTGCTGGGATCTGGCCCAGTCCTGGCACCCACACAAAACGTGGGAGCCCCAAAAGCAAAGGCACGGGTGGTCTTGAGTAACTCAAGGGTTCTGGGTTCAAGCCTGGGAAGTGGCTTTTACCGTAGGTGGCAGAAAGTGCCTTAATTTCTTGCCACTCTGCTCTTCCCTGGTCAGTGCAGGGAAAAGAAGAAGCACCGGGGAGTAGCCAGGTCCTGCATGCAATAGCAGTTCAGGATTTTACCACCACGGGGGCTGGGATGGAGATAAAGCATGGCCAGTGTGGAGACATGAGTCCTGCTCCACGCTTCCTGCTGCTGCAACGGGAGGGACCCTCCATTCCCAACTCAGCTGCACCCCAGCACCCTGCCAGCTCAGGGGACACCTCATGATCCTGCCCCTGCCTCTGCAGTGCCGTCAACAGGAGAGACTGGGAACTCAGGAACATACCTAAGGGGACTTCAGTGATGGTGGAGGTGTTTCTCATGGCCATCAGGATTCCTTCCAGGACCTCTGCTCTTGTCTTTCGGGCAGGAGGGCCGGGCATTCTCCCATGCTGCAAGGAAGACTTGTCTTGTTTAATATCTTTATCAATGACCTGGACAAGGGGATTGAGTGTTCCCTCAGTAAATTTGCAGATGACACCAAACTGGGTGGTAGTGTTGATCTGCTTGAGGGGAGGGGGGCTCTGCAGAGAGACCTGGGCAGGCTGGATCGATGGGCTGAGGCCAACTGTATGAGGTTCAACAAGGCCAAGTGCCGAGTCCTGCACTTGGGTCACAACAACCCCATGCAACGCTACAG